CAAAAGCAGACTTGTGTTGATATAGACATTTTTTAACTTCAGTTTCTTGCCTTCTTCAAAATAAAAAAAAAAATCAGTGATTTCATTTAATTGAGAAATCTCAAAAATTGAAGACATGGAAATGACAAACAAATGAAGGAAGGAAAGCATCCAGAAAAGAAGATAAATTTAATGACATTATTCATTGCAAGAGACATGACCTCATTTCTTATTAGAGGGATTTCTCCTAAACCAGATTTGATGTTAACTAAATTTATCTTATAGACTCTCCTCAAATTTATCCTAATGTGATGTCTTTTTTTTTTTTTTAGCTATGGAAAAGAGAAGAGATTCAAAGAAAATTTAAAACATTGTGATAACTTCCTCAAATGATAGTTTTTCTCAGCTCCTCACCCTTACCCACTGTAATATAAGAATAAAAAAGCAGAAATCATCAGCATAAAGATTCTAGCTGTCCCCAGAAGTGAAACAAATAGTTGTGTGAGTGAAGCAAATTTAGTTTTATTTAAACTTCTAGCATTTAAGTTACTGATTTCTATAATTAAAATGATTTTACTTAAATGTTATTGAACAAATTATTAAAATTTAGAGGTTAAGCTGAGTGAAATGAAAATAAGATGTTTGTAATAAACACACACAGCAGATGACGTGATACAGGCTGTAAAGCATAAACCCCCTCCTCCCCCCAAATAAGTCTGAGACTTTTCCAGAAAGTCTTTTCCTTAGGATTTTTGCTTGGGTATTTGATATATAACTATTGTACAGATTAATCTATGTAGAGTGATAGTATTTATGGAACACTTGGTATATGCCAAACAATCTTCTTAAGTATCTTATTTAAACTCTACAAAAATTTTAGGGGGCAGGTACAATTATTATCCTCACTTTAAAGATGGGGAAACTGAAGTTCTAGAGGTTATATAACTTGCCCAAGGCCCAGCAGTTTTGGTGGGTATAGAGCTGGGCTTCTGGCCTAAAGTCCTCTCTGACTGCTCAAAGCTGTGTGGCCATTTATTTCCAATCACTCACTAAACAGGCATTCTATAGATATGAGGATTTACTTTTCAATTTAGAGATTATCAATCCGTTCTTGATCAGACCCTTTTGGACAGTTTACTCATTTAAACATTTTTGCATTAGCCCTTTCATTTATATTTCAGGTGACCGTGTGAATACAAGATTGCGATCTGTATTTATTTTGCTACAGAAAGTCAAGCCTCCCTATAATTTTTTACAGAAATATCCCTTCAAATTTGCGTCTTCTGTCATCTTTTAAACAGACCTTTGGCATGGATGGCGGCACATGGGTAAGTCTCCCCATGCTCTGTCTTTCTGTTCTTTTTCCCTTTCGCTTTCCCTCTGTTTCTTCTTTCAGACATATCGCTTCATAGAAGCCCTGTACCTCTTGGCCATGTTTGTGGCATCTCATTGTCGGTCCCAGAAGAGGTGTTGGCATACTCAATCATTCCGTTGTTGGCTTGATGCTTACAAGTCACCCAGTCCTTCAGAACATGGAGGAACCAAGAATGTAAGGCAGGAATTGTGGGGGTTCAGTAGCATAAGCTGAGACAAAGCACTAAGCTTTGAGAATTTTTTGCCTTTGTTCTTTTCTTCTGTCTATACTGGGAAGTGGCACATCCCTGCTGACGATCAAGGCTGAAGGGTTGCTGCCCCTCGCATTTACCTAGGACTCTTTAGGCATTGGCTCTGTAGTTTGTGGACATTATAGTTCTGCCAAAGACAGGAAGCAAAAAGAGGGTGGTCTGTCTCAAACCGGTCCCAGTTTGTTGCTTGTTGGCAGTGTCTGTGTAAGGAGGGTTAAAAAAGTTAGAAGTAAAATTATTCTGAAAGGGATCATTTGCGACTCATTAATCCATGTGATTTCTGATGCTCATTATCACTGAAAATTGAGTTGGCAAAATCTGTTTGTTTAACTTCTGTGATTAAGGATCAGTGTTGGGATTTGATGTTCTTGGGGCTGAGAGGGACAAAAGGATGGCACTCACCCATCCTCCCACTCCCACCCACACCCGCAGCCAGCACCCAGTGCTCTTTATCCCTGGCCAACAAGCAGTTCTCCATCTCCCGTGGAACACTGGCAGGGAAGCCCATGGAGCAGCAAGAAGGAAGGGACGGCAGCTGGCAAGCCTGACCCGCTGAGTTGCACTGCTCTCAGTGGGTGACAGGCAGGGTGTGCTCGGTGTCTTAACCCTGAGGTGCCCCAAGTGGCAGCGGAGACGCCTCTGCAGGCCTGACTAAAGAGAACCGCCTGGCCTCTTCTTAGCTTTTTTAAAGAACTAAGTTCCATAATTAAGCCTTTATTATCTGACATTTCTCAAAGCCAAATATTAAAGCATCTTACAATTGTGTAAAAATATTTTAAATGTAACAACAAGCCCCCGGTGTTACTTATCTTTGTTCTAGTACTTCTTGGTGTCCAACAGGTGGCTACTCTTTCTAGGTGCCAGCACACAGCCAGGTCAGTAACAGCGACTTCTCTGTAACCCCTCATTCTGCGGGGGGGTGGGTGGGGGGAGTGGCTTCCCACGGTGGCTGGTCCCCGGGTGCCTCCCCGTGTTGATTCTTAAAAGTCTTTTCAAAAATTCCAAATGATTGTGCTTTTTGGCTCCTCCTTGGATGGTGCCTTAATCAGACCACATCGTGGTCCTGCCCCTCCCGGTACCTCCAGGTTAACCTGTGGCCTTTCCCTGTGTCCGTGTTCTCTAATACATCAGACTCCCAGCCCACTCTGAACCTTGCGAATGCTGTTTTTTCTGTCAAGAATCCTGTGAGGTCTTCCCTGAGCGCCTTCCATGTGGGCTGCCTCTACGATTGCATTTACCTGGGTTTTAAATGCAGCTTTGCCTTTCCAAAACTGGAAGTTCCTTGAGGTCAAAGATCGCGTCCTACTCGTCTGTACATCTTTGGTGCTAAGCACAGTGCCTCACACATGATAGAACATCATAAGGTAGTAGCTGAATAATAATGGAAAATAAGTTTTCTTAATTGATTCTTTTCTAGATCGGCTTTCTAGTTTTTCAAAATTTAATCATTTCCAAATTGAAGTTTATTTCAATCTTGTCAGTATTTATGTAGATAAAATTATATCCTTTAATCAATATTTGCATGATAGCGTGCTTTCACCACACTGTTTACCTCAGATATGCTCCTGAAAGTTCAATGCATTAATATTTATGATTCAAGTGTTTTGAAATTTAATGTAGTTTGATTTCTTTATTAGTGTGAAGCTTTCTTTTTATTTAGCAAACAATCGTTCTGTACATTATTTTGGAAATATTACTTTTTTTTCTATATCAGATTTACCTAAGAAAAGTAATTCTATGTTGTACTCTACTACATTATAAGTAGATTTAACTGAGAAGTATCATTTTACTGTCTTTTGCCTATAAATAGAAAAGTAAGGACAACAATGTAACAGTCACAGTTTTCTTCTCGGGGATTCCACCGTCTGTGTTTTCAGCAGTGGGAGACTGGGGAGGGGGACAGACTTCTCCTGGGTCCCTCCCTTGTGTTTCTCTAGCTCTAGCAGGGACGTTTACTGTAATTGGTTTTCCACATTTGCCAAGAGTCTGTTTCCTCTTAACATTCAACATGTTTAACAGAAGTCTTGTAATAGTTCCAAAAATAATAAAACTGGTCCCAAGAATAAAAATGATACACAACACATTGGGGTTTTTTTTTGCCATGACTTTGGTTTTGTTGTTCTTTTTAATAATTTTTTTTTTCCTTTTTGTCTTTTCGTGACCAGCAACGGATCGCAACCCTCAGTGTCGCGCCCGTACCGGACCAGGACCGG